TGTCTTTTCAAAAAAAAAGATAAATATGGAGAGATTAAAAAAAAAGTTCTTTTAATTTTATTAGAAGTGATAAGGCAACCATTCAACGAAAATAAAGAAACAATTCAAAATCAACTATTTCAAAATGTCAAATAGGATGTTGTAAAAAAATTAACAATTAAATACATGTATACAAAGATTATATTCAAGAATACCATTACAATTTACATTTATATATTAAATCTGTTTTTAAATGTTGTTTAAACTCAAACCTTCTTTATGCCTTAATATCGCCTCGTTTTCTAATTTTTTAAAAAGTTTTGATTTTTGGAAAATCACTCATGATAATAATAAGAAAAACATGACTAATTTAAGGAAAATTATTTTTAAAAAAATTGACTTAAAACAAATAATGATGTATAGATATGTAATCTTATGTTATTATTTTTTTTTTAATTTGTTAAATAAAATAATTTTTATTTCAGGAATTTTAGAAAATGAAGGAAAGAATTTTTCGAATTCTACCTTGACAGGTGTGCCGTGCGGCACTAAGTGTCAATCACGAAACTGTCATATGCCGAGCGGCACAAATGATCAGGTTCTAGCAGAATATATTTTATTAATTTTTAACAATTCAAGAAGGCCCAATTAACAACTTGTCAAAATCTTCAAGGATATTCTTAACAAATCAAAGGATATCAGACATGTTTGCCGTACGGCATAAAATGTCAACGTCAAAAACTGTAATGTGCCGGACGGCACTAAAACAGCTTTTGCTAACACCTTAAATTTATTAAAATATGAGGTAAATATTATAACAATTAAAGAAAATCAGACATGTTTGCCGTGCGGCATAAAATGTCAAAATCAAAATAAGTAATTTGCCGGACGGCACTAAAACAGACTTTGATATTTTCTTTAATAAGTTAAAATATATAAGGATATTATAATAATAATAAAAGAGAATTAAACAGATTTGCCGTGCGGCATAAAATTGTCACAATCGGAAAGAGTAATGTGCCGGACGGCACTAAAACAATTTCTGATAATCCCTTTAATATATTACTAGCGATGTATTCCTCGCTCGCTAACGCACGCTCGGTTAAAATTGTACTTATTGTTGTTTACTTATTGTAGTTTATGTATATTATATATATAATTTATGTTTTAAATTAATATCTTATTAATATTGTATAAAATTTATCTTAATTTTGATCAGTTTCATTGAAGGATGAAATGAAAATTGTTAAATATTAGATTTTTTTTATTATAATTATGACAACAATATTAATTATATTATATTATAATATATTTTTTTTATCTTAAATTATATTATATTATATTGATGTAAATTGTCCCACAAACACATGTAGATTTTGCAAATTTTTGAGAAAAATATTCGTAATAAATCGAAATACTTTTTAAAATATCGGTTTTTATTTTTATTATCTATAGTAAACCGTTATAAAGAGATTCTTGTTTGATTTTACATATATTACTAGTTCTCCGGAATAATGATGTATTTGAATTAAATAATGATGTTGTTAAACGAATGACAGGTGAACCTAGAGAATATTTAAGTACAGATTCATCTGAAGAAGATGAAAAGTGTGACACAATAACTAACTTAATACCAATTGAAGTATTAAATAGTTTAACTCCAACTGGACTTCCTCCTCACAAATTAATATTAAAGATTGGTGCAATTGTGATACTTTTAAGGAATATTAATTTAGAAAGAGGTCTTTGTAATGGAACAAGACTAAAAGTTATTAAAATGGGTAGTTTTTCTATTCATGCACAAGTAATAACGGGAAATTGTAAAAATGAGATTGTAATTTTGCCACGAATTACATTGTCACCGTCTAACGAAGAAATACCATTTCAAATGTCAAGAAAGCAATTTCCAATAAGGCTTGGATTTGCTTTAACAATCAACAAATCTCAAGGCCAATCTTTCCAAAAAGTAGGCATATACCTTCCTTCACATGTTTTTAGTCCGTGACAATTATATGTTGCTTTATCAAGAGTAACTTCAAAATATAATCTTAAAGTATTATTATATAAAAATTCAAGTATTACACATAGCGAAAAAGGAATAAAAAAAAGATAGGCAATGAAAAAGAAATTTATGTAAGAAACATTGTTTACCAAGAAGTATTTTATTTATTTTATTAAATTATTATTTATATTATTTTTTTATTATTATTTTATTACAATAATATTTAACACATGTTTTAAAAAAATTCGACTACGAAGAAATCTACTAACTCTACTTTATAAATAAATTAATTCATTGAATTGGAAATGGCTGCGCTGAACAGTAACGGCAGCGCCATAAAAAAAAATTATAATTATTATTATACTGATCATATGGCATAGAAAGGATTAAAAAACCATTTAAAAGAAAAAAATATATAAAATATGCTCCCTCATTAACAAAAAAAAAAAATAATCAAGTAATAACAAAAACTGTAAACTGGCTGCGCTGAGTAGTAACATCTGCGTAACATAAAGAAAATAATACAATAAATTATAATAATTTATTAATAACATCACTCATATAAAACTAAATTATAAAAAATAAATTTAAAAATTAATAAGAAATAAAACAACTTACGAAAATTGCAGAATGGATGCGATGAATAAGTTAAAACATATTATAACTTTACATTATTTTAAATGAAAATAAAGTATTAAAAATAAAAAAATTAATATTTTTCTAAGTCCCTAAATTTTTTGGACTTATAAAAAAACAGTTTGTAAGATTTTCTAACAGCATATATGCAAAGTATTTTGATTTATTTAAAAATAATTGAAAATAGATTTTTCAAGGACGGTGTCGAGGTCATGGGGTCGGTGTCGTTTTTCGAAATTTGTTAACTTAATATAATAGAAGAAGAAGATGTTTCGTTTTAAATTAAGAAATGTTAAAATTATTAAGTTAAAAACATTTGATTTTAATGACACTTAAAATTAGACACAATATTATAGGTTACTAACTAAAAATTGAAAAAGCATCAATCAATAATAAAAAATAATAATAAAAAATTGAAAAAATCAAAAAATTCTTAAAAAATTGCAAAATAACCCTTTTTCGGGTTAAAATTGTAAAAAGATGTTACATAAAAATAGTTTGTAAGATTTTCTAACAACATATAAGCAAAGTATTTTGATTTATTTAAAAATAATTGAAAATAGATTTTTCAAGGACGGTGTCGAGGTCACGGGGTCGGTGTCGTTTTTCGAAATTTGTTAACTTAATATAATAGAAGATGTTTCGTTTTAAATTAAGAAATGTTAAAATTATTAAGTTAATAACATTTGATTTTAATGACACTTAAAATTAGACACAATATTATAGGTTACTAACTAAAAATTGAAAAAACAACAATAAATAATAAAAAATAATAATAAAAAATTGAAAAAATCAAAAAATTCTTAAAAAATTGCAAAATAACCCTTTTTCGGGTTAAAATTGTAAAAAGATGTTACATAAAAATAGTTTGTAAGATTTTCTAACAGCATATAAGCAAAGCATTTTGATTTATTTAAAAATAATTGAAAATAGATTTTTCAAGGACGGTGTCGAGGTCACGGGGTCGGTGTCGTTTTTCGAAATTTGTTAACTTAATATAATAGAAGATGTTTCGTTTTAAATTAAGAAATGTTAAAATTATTAAGTTAATAACATTTGATTTTAATGACACTTAAAATTAGACACAATATTATAGGTTACTAACTAAAAATTGAAAAAACAACAATCAATAATAAAAAATAATAATAAAAAATTGAAAAAATAAAAAATTTCTTAAAAAATAGCAAAATAACCCTTTTTCGGGTTAAAATTGAAAAATAACCCTTTTTCGGGTTAAATTGAAAAAAGATGTTACATAAAAATAGTTTGTAAGATTTTCTAACAGCATATATGCAAAGTATTTTGATTTATTTGAAAATAATTGAAAATAGATTTTTCAAGGACGGTGTCGAGGTCACGGGGTCGGTGTCGTTTTTCGAAATTTGTTAACATAATATAATAGAAGACGTTTCGTTTTAAATTAAGAAATGTTAAAATTATTAAGTTAAAAACATTTGATTTTAATGACACTTAAAATTAGACACAATATTATAGGTTACTAACTAAAAATTGAAAAAACAACAATAAATAATAAAAAATAATAATAAAAAATTGAAAAAATCAAAAAATTCTTAAAAAATTGCAAAATAACCCTTTTTCGGGTTAAAATTGAAAAAAGATGTTACATAAAAATAGTTTGTAAGATTTTCTAAAAGCATATAAGCAAAGTATTTTGATTTATTAAAAAATAATTGAAAATAGATTTTTCAAGGACGGTGTCGAGGTCATGGGGTCGGTGTCGTTTTTCGAAACTTGTTAACTTAATATAATAGAAGATGTTTCGTTTTAAATTAAGAAATGTTAAAATTATTAAGTTAAAAACATTTGATTTTAATGACATTTAAAATTAGACACAATATTATAGGTTACTAACTAAAAATTGAAAAAACAACAATCAATAATAAAAAATAATAATAAAAAATTGAAAAAATAAAAAATTTCTTAAAAAATAGCAAAATAACCCTTTTTCGGGTTAAAATTGAAAAAAGATGTTACATAAAAATAGTTTGTAAGATTTTCTAACAGCATATAAGCAAAGTATTTTGATTTATTTAAAAATAATAGAAAATAGATTTTTCAAGGACGGTGTCGAGGTCACGGGGTCGGTGTCGTTTTTCGAAATTTGTTAACTTAATATAATAGAAAATGTTTCGTTTTAAATTAAGAAATGTTAAAATTATTAAGTTAAAAACATTTGATTTTAATGATACTTAAAATTAAACACAATATTATAGGTTACTAACTAAAAATTGAAAAAACAACAATAAATAATAAAAAATAATAATAAAAAATTGAAAAAATCAAAAAATTCTTAAAAAATTGCAAAATAACCCTTTTTCGGGTTAAAATTGTAAAAAGATGTTACATAAAAATAGTTTGTAAGATTTTCTAACAGCATATAAGCAAAGCATTTTGATTTATTTAAAAATAATTGAAAATAGATTTTTCAAGGACGGTGTCGAGGTCACGGGGTCGGTGTCGTTTTTCGAAATTTGTTAACTTAATATAATAGAAGATGTTTCGTTTTAAATTAAGAAATGTTAAAATTATTAAGTTAAAAACATTTGATTTTAATGACACTTAAAATTAGACACAATATTATAGGTTACTAACTAAAAATTGAAAAAACAACAATAAATAATAAAAAATAATAATAAAAAATTGAAAAAATCAAAAAATTCTTAAAAAATTGCAAAATAACCTTTTTTCGGGTTAAAATTGAAAAAAGATGTTACATAAAAATAGTTTGTAAGATTTTCTAACAGCATATAAGCAAAGTATTTTGATTTATTAAAAAATAATTGAAAATAGATTTTTCAAGGACGGTGTCGAGGTCATGGGGTCGGTGTCGTTTTTCGAAACTTGTTAACTTAATATAATAGAAGATGTTTCGTTTTAAATTAAGAAATGTTAAAATTATTAAGTTAAAAACATTTGATTTTAATGACACTTAAAATTAGACACAATATTATAGGTTACTAACTAAAAATTGAAAAAACAACAATCAATAATAAAAAATAATAATAAAAAATTGAAAAAATAAAAAATTTCTTAAAAAATAGCAAAATAACCCTTTTTCGGGTTAAAATTGAAAAAAGATGTTACATAAAAATAGTTTGTAAGATTTTCTAACAGCATATAAGCAAAGTATTTTGATTTATTTAAAAATAATAGAAAATAGATTTTTCAAGGACGGTGTCGAGGTCACGGGGACGGTGTCGTTTTTCGAAATTTGTTAACTTAATATAATAGAAGAAGAAGATGTTTTGTTTTAAATTAAGAAATGTTAAAATTATTAAGTTAAAAACATTTGATTTTAATGACACTTAAAATTAGACACAATATTATAGGTTACTAACTAAAAATTGAAAAAGCATCAATCAATAATAAAAAATAATAATAAAAAATTGAAAAAATCAAAAAATTCTTAAAAAATTGCAAAATAACCCTTTTTCGGGTTAAAATTGTAAAAAGATGTTACATAAAAATAGTTTGTAAGATTTTCTAACAACATATAAGCAAAGTATTTTGATTTATTTAAAAATAATTGAAAATAGATTTTTCAAGGACGGTGTCGAGGTCACGGGGTCGGTGTCGTTTTTCGAAATTTGTTAACTTAATATAATAGAAGATGTTTCGTTTTAAATTAAGAAATGTTAAAATTATTAAGTTAATAACATTTGATTTTAATGACACTTAAAATTAGACACAATATTATAGGTTACTAACTAAAAATTGAAAAAACAACAATCAATAATAAAAAATAATAATAAAAAATTGAAAAAATAAAAAATTTCTTAAAAAATAGCAAAATAACCCTTTTTCGGGTTAAAATTGAAAAATAACCCTTTTTCGGGTTAAATTGAAAAAAGATGTTACATAAAAATAGTTTGTAAGATTTTCTAACAGCATATATGCAAAGTATTTTGATTTATTTGAAAATAATTGAAAATAGATTTTTCAAGGACGGTGTCGAGGTCACGGGGTCGGTGTCGTTTTTCGAAATTTGTTAACATAATATAATAGAAGACGTTTCGTTTTAAATTAAGAAATGTTAAAATTATTAAGTTAAAAACATTTGATTTTAATGACACTTAAAATTAGACACAATATTATAGGTTACTAACTAAAAATTGAAAAAACAACAATAAATAATAAAAAATAATAATAAAAAATTGAAAAAATCAAAAAATTCTTAAAAAATTGCAAAATAACCCTTTTTCGGGTTAAAATTGAAAAAAGATGTTACATAAAAATAGTTTGTAAGATTTTCTAAAAGCATATAAGCAAAGTATTTTGATTTATTAAAAAATAATTGAAAATAGATTTTTCAAGGACGGTGTCGAGGTCATGGGGTCGGTGTCGTTTTTCGAAACTTGTTAACTTAATATAATAGAAGATGTTTCGTTTTAAATTAAGAAATGTTAAAATTATTAAGTTAAAAACATTTGATTTTAATGACACTTAAAATTAGACACAATATTATAGGTTACTAACTAAAAATTGAAAAAACAACAATCAATAATAAAAAATAATAATAAAAAATTGAAAAAATAAAAAATTTCTTAAAAAATAGCAAAATAACCCTTTTTCGGGTTAAAATTGAAAAAAGATGTTACATAAAAATAGTTTGTAAGATTTTCTAACAGCATATAAGCAAAGTATTTTGATTTATTTAAAAATAATAGAAAATAGATTTTTCAAGGACGGTGTCGAGGTCACGGGGTCGGTGTCGTTTTTCGAAATTTGTTAACTTAATATAATAAAAAATGTTTCGTTTTAAATTAAGAAATGTTAAAATTATTAAGTTAAAAACATTTGATTTTAATGATACTTAAAATTAAACACAATATTATAGGTTACTAACTAAAAATTGAAAAAACAACAATAAATAATAAAAAATAATAATAAAAAATTGAAAAAATCAAAAAATTCTTAAAAAATTGCAAAATAACCCTTTTTCGGGTTAAAATTGTAAAAAGATGTTACATAAAAATAGTTTGTAAGATTTTCTAACAGCATATAAGCAAAGCATTTTGATTTATTTAAAAATAATTGAAAATAGATTTTTCAAGGACGGTGTCGAGGTCACGGGGTCGGTGTCGTTTTTCGAAATTTGTTAACTTAATATAATAGAAGATGTTTCGTTTTAAATTAAGAAATGTTAAAATTATTAAGTTAAAAACATTTGATTTTAATGACACTTAAAATTAGACACAATATTATAGGTTACTAACTAAAAATTGAAAAAACAACAATAAATAATAAAAAATAATAATAAAAAATTGAAAAAATCAAAAAATTCTTAAAAAATTGCAAAATAACCTTTTTCGGGTTAAAATTGAAAAAAGATGTTACATAAAAATAGTTTGTAAGATTTTCTAACAGCATATAAGCAAAGTATTTTGATTTATTAAAAAATAATTGAAAATAGATTTTTCAAGGACGGTGTCGAGGTCATGGGGTCGGTGTCGTTTTTCGAAACTTGTTAACTTAATATAGTAGAAGATGTTTCGTTTTAAATTAAGAAATGTTAAAATTATTAAGTTAAAAACATTTGATTTTAATGACACTTAAAATTAGACACAATATTATAGGTTACTAACTAAAAATTGAAAAAACAACAATCAATAATAAAAAATAATAATAAAAAATTGAAAAAATAAAAAATTTCTTAAAAAATAGCAAAATAACCCTTTTTCGGGTTAAAATTGAAAAAAGATGTTACATAAAAATAGTTTGTAAGATTTTCTAACAGCATATAAGCAAAGTATTTTGATTTATTTAAAAATAATAGAAAATAGATTTTTCAAGGACGGTGTCGAGGTCACGGGGTCGGTGTCGTTTTTCGAAATTTGTTAACTTAATATAATAGAAAATGTTTCGTTTTAAATTAAGAAATGTTAAAATTATTAAGTTAAAAACATTTGATTTTAATGATACTTAAAATTAAACACAATATTATAGGTTACTAACTAAAAATTGAAAAAACAACAATAAATAATAAAAAATAATAATAAAAAATTGAAAAAATCAAAAAATTCTTAAAAAATTGCAAAATAACCCTTTTTCGGGTTAAAATTGAAAAAAGATGTTACATAAAAATAGTTTGTAAGATTTTCTAACAGCATATAAGCAAAGTATTTTGATTTATTTAAAAATAATTGAAAATAGATTTTTCAAGGACGGTGTCGAGGTCACGGGGTCGGTGTCGTTTTTCGAAATTTGTTAACTTAATATAATAGAAGATGTTTCGTTTTAAATTAAGAAATGTTAAAATTATTAAGTTAAAAACATTTGATTTTAATGACACTTAAAATTAGACACAATATTATAGGTTACTAACTAAAAATTGAAAAAGCATCAATCAATAATAAAAAATAAAAATAATAAAAAATTGAAAAAATCAAAAAATTCTTAAAAAATTGCAAAATAACCCTTTTTCGGGTTAAAATTGTAAAAAGATGTTACATAAAAATAGTTTGTAAGATTTTCTAACAGCATATAAGCAAAGTATTTTGATTTATTTAAAAATAATTGAAAATAGATTTTTCAAGGACGGTGTCGAGGTCACGGGGTCGGTGTCGTTTTTCGAAATTTGTTAACTTAATATAATAGAAGATGTTTCGTTTTAAATTAAGAAATGTTAAAATTATTAAGTTAAAAACATTTGATTTTAATGACACTTAAAATTAGACACAATATTATAGGTTACTAACTAAAAATTGAAAAAACAACAATCAATAATAAAAAATAATAATAAAAAATTGAAAAAATCAAAAAATTCTTAAAAAATAGCAAAATAACCCTTTTTCGGGTTAAAATTGAAAAAAGATGTTACATAAAAATAGTTTGTAAGATTTTCTAACAGCATATAAGCAAAGTATTTTGATTTATTTAAAAATAATAGAAAATAGATTTTTCAAGGACGGTGTCGAGGTCACGGGGTCGGTGTCGTTTTTCGAAATTTGTTAACTTAATATAATAGAAAATGTTTCGTTTTAAATTAAGAAATGTTAAAATTATTAAGTTAAAAACATTTGATTTTAATGACACTTAAAATTAGACACAATATTATAGGTTACTAACTAAAAATTGAAAAAACAACAATAAATAATAAAAAATAATAATAAAAAATTGAAAAAATAAAAAATTTCTTAAAAAATAGCAAAATAACCCTTTTTCGGGTTAAAATTGAAAAAAGATGTTACATAAAAATAGTTTGTAAGATTTTCTAACAGCATATAAGCAAAGTATTTTGATTTATTAAAAAATAATTGAAAATAGATTTTTCAAGGACGGTGTCGAGGTCATGGGGTCGGTGTCGTTTTTCGAAACTTTTTAACTTAATATAATAGAAGATGTTTCGTTTTAAATTAAGAAATGTTAAAATTATTAAGTTAAAAACATTTGATTTTAATGACACTTAAAATTAGACACAATATTATAGGTTACTAACTAAAAATTGAAAAAACAACAATCAATAATAAAAAATAATAATAAAAAATTGAAAAAATAAAAAATTTCTTAAAAAATAGCAAAATAACCCTTTTTCGGGTTAAAATTGAAAAAAGATGTTACATAAAAATAGTTTGTAAGATTTTCTAACAGCATATAAGCAAAGTATTTTGATTTATTTAAAAATAATAGAAAATAGATTTTTCAAGGACGGTGTCGAGGTCACGGGGTCGGTGTCGTTTTTCGAAATTTGTTAACTTAATATAATAGAAGATGTTTCGTTTTAAATTAAGAAATGTTAAAATTATTAAGTTAAAAACATTTGATTTTAATGACACTTAAAATTAGACACAATATTATAGGTTACTAACTAAAAATTGAAAAAACAACAATAAATAATAAAAAATAATAATAAAAAATTGAAAAAATCAAAAAATTCTTAAAAAATTGCAAAATAACCCTTTTTCGGGTTAAAATTGAAAAAAGATGTTACATAAAAATAGTTTGTAAGATTTTCTAACAGCATATAAGCAAAGTATTTTGATTTATTTAAAAATAATTGAAAATAGATTTTTCAAGGACGGTGTCGAGGTCACGGGGTCGGTGTCGTTTTTCGAAATTTGTTAACTTAATATAATAGAAGATGTTTCGTTTTAAATTAAGAAATGTTAAAATTATTAAGTTAAAAACATTTGATTTTAATGACACTTAAAATTAGACACAATATTATAGGTTACTAACTAAAAATTGAAAAAGCAACAATCAATAATAAAAAATAAAATAATAAAAAATTGAAAAAATCAAAAAATTCTTAAAAAATTGCAAAATAACCCTTTTTCGGGTTAAAATTGTAAAAAGATGTTACATAAAAATAGTTTGTAAGATTTTCTAACAGCATATAAGCAAAGTATTTTGATTTATTTAAAAATAATTGAAAATAGATTTTTCAAGGACGGTGTCGAGGTCACGGGGTCGGTGTCGTTTTTCGAAATTTGTTAACTTAATATAATAGAAGATGTTTCGTTTTAAATTAAGAAATGTTAAAATTATTAAGTTAAAAACATTTGATTTTAATGACACTTAAAATTAGACACAATATTATAGGTTACTAACTAAAAATTGAAAAAACAACAATCAATAATAAAAAATAATAATAAAAAATTGAAAAAATCAAAAAATTTCTTAAAAAATAGCAAAATAACCCTTTTTCGGGTTAAAATTGAAAAAAGATGTTACATAAAAATAGTTTGTAAGATTTTCTAACAGCATATAAGCAAAGTATTTTGATTTATTTAAAAATAATTGAAAATAGATTTTTCAAGGACGGTGTCGAGGTCATGGGGTCGGTGTCGTTTTTCGAAACTTTGTTAACTTAATATAATAGAAGAAGAAGATGTTTCGTTTTAAATTAAGAAATGTTAAAATTATTAAGTTAAAAACATTTGATTTTAATGACACTTAAAATTAGACACAATATTATAGGTTACTAACTAAAAATTGAAAAAACAACAATCAATAATAAAAAATAATAATAAAAAATTGAAAAAATCAAAAAATTCTTAAAAAATTGCAAAATAACCCTTTTTCGGGTTAAAATTGAAAAAAGATGTTACATAAAAATAGTTTGTAAGATTTTCTAACAGCATATAAGCAAAGTATTTTGATTTATTTAAAAATAATTGAAAATAGATTTTTCAAGGACGGTGTCGAGGTCACGGGGTCGGTGTCGTTTTTCGAAATTTGTTAACTTAATATAATAGAAGATGTTTCGTTTTACATTAAGAAATGTTAAAATTATTAAGTTAAAAACATTTGATTTTAATGACACTTAAAATTAAACACAATATTATAGGTTACTAACTAAAAATTGAAAAAGCAACAATCAATAATAAAAAATAATAATAAAAAATTGAAAAAATCAAAAAATTCTTAATAAATTGCAAAATAACCCTTTTTCGGGTTAAAATTGAAAAAAGATGTTACATAAAAATAGTTTGTAAGATTTTCTAACATCATATAAGCAAAGTATTTTGATTTATTTAAAAATAATTGAAAATAGATTTTTCAAGGACGGTGTCGAGGTCACGGGGTCGGTGTCGTTTTTCGAAATTTGTTAACTTAATATAATAGAAGATGTTTCGTTTTAAATTAAGAAATGTTAAAATTATTAAGTTAAAAACATTTGATTTTAATGACACTTAAAATTAGACACAATATTATAGGTTACTAACTAAAAATTGAAAAAACAACAATAAATAATAAAAAATAATAATAAAAAATTGAAAAAATAAAAAATTTCTTAAAAAATAGCAAAATAACCCTTTTTCGGGTTAAAATTGAAAAAAGATGTTACATAAAAATAGTTTGTAAGATTTTCTAACAGCATATAAGCAAAGTATTTTGATTTATTTAAAAATAATAGAAAATAGATTTTTCAAGGACGGTTTCGAGGTCACGGGTTCGGTGTCGTTTTTCGAAATTTGTTAACTTAATATAATAGAAAATGTTTCGTTTTAAATTAAGAAATGTTAAAATTATTAAGTTAAAAACATTTGATTTTAATGATACTTAAAATTAAACACAATATTATAGGTTACTAACTAAAAATTGAAAAAACAACAATAAATAATAAAAAATAATAATAAAAAATTGAAAAAATCAAAAAATTCTTAAAAAATTGCAAAATAACCCTTTTTCGGGTTAAAATTGAAAAAAGATGTTACATAAAAATAGTTTGTAAGATTTTCTAACAGCATATAAGCAAAGTATTTTGATTTATTTAAAAATAATTGAAAATAGATTTTTCAAGGACGGTGTCGAGGTCACGGGGTCGGTGTTGTTTTTCGAAATTTGTTAACTTAATATAATAGAAGATGTTTCGTTTTAAATTAAGAAATGTTAAAATTATTAAGTTAAAAACATTTGATTTTAATGACACTTAAAATTAGACACAATATTATAGGTTACTAACTAAAAATTGAAAAAACAATAAATAATAAAAAATAATAATAAAAAATTGAAAAAATCAAAAAATTCTTAAAAAATTGCAAAATAACCCTTTTTCGGGTTAAAAGTGAAAAAAGATGTTACATAAAAATAGTTTGTAAGATTTTCTAACAGCATATAAGCAAAGTATTTTGATTTATTTAAAAATAATTGAAAATAGATTTTTCAAGGACGGTGTCGAGGTCACGGGGTCGGTGTCGTTTTTCGAAATTTGTTAACTTAATATAACAGAAGATGTTTCGTTTTAAATTAAGAAATGTTAAAATTATTAAGTTAAAAACATTTGATTTTAATGACACTTAAAATTAAACACAATATTATAGGTTACTAACTAAAAATTGAAAAAGCAACAATCAATAATAAAAAATAATAATAAAAAATTGAAAAAATCAAAAAATTCATAATAAATTGCAAAATAAACCTTTTTCGGGTTAAAATTGAAAAAAGATGTTACATAAAAATAGTTTGTAAGATTTTCTAACATCATATAAGCAAAGTATTTTGATTTATTTAAAAATAATTGAAAATAGATTTTTCAAGGACGGTGTCGAGGTCAGGGGGTCGGTGTCGTTTTTCGAAATTTGTTAACTTAATATAATAGAAGATGTTTCGTTTTAAATTAAGAAATGTTAAAATTATTAAGTTAATAACATTTGATTTTAATGACACTTAAAATTAGACACAAAATTATAGGTTACTAACTAAAAATTGAAAAAGCATCAATCAATAATAAAAAATAAAAATAATAAAAAATTGAAAAAATCAAAAAATTCTTAAAAAATTGCAAAATAACCCTTTTTCGGGTTAAAATTGTAAAAAGATGTTACATAAAAATAGTTTGTAAGATTTTCTAACAGCATATAAGCAAAGTATTTTGATTTATTTAAAAATAATTGAAAATAGATTTTTCAAGGACGGTGTCGAGGTCACGGGGTCGGTGTTGTTTTTCGAAATTTGTTAACTTAATATAATAGAAGATGTTTCGTTTTAAATTAAGAAATGTTAAAATTATTAAGTTAAAAACATTTCATTTTAATGACACTTAAAATTAGACACAATATTATAGGTTACTAACTAAAAATTGAAAAAACAACAATAAATAATAAAAAATAATAATAAAAAATTGAAAAAATCAAAAAATTCTTAAAAAATTGCAAAATAACCCTTTTTCGGGTTAAAATTGAAAAAAGATGTTACATAAAAATAGTTTGTAAGATTTTCTAACAGCATATAAGCAAAGTATTTTGATTTATTTAAAAATAATTGAAAATAGATTTTTCAAGGACGGTGTCGAGGTCACGGGGTCGGTGTCGTTTTTCGAAATTTGTTAACTTAATATAATAGAAGATGTTTCGTTTTAAATTAAGAAATGTTAAAATTATTAAGTTAAAAACATTTGATTTTAATGACACTTAAAATTAGACACAATATTATAGGTTACTAACTAAAAAATGAAAAAACAACAATAAATAATAAAAAATAATAATAAAAAATTGAAAAAATAAAAAATTTCTTAAAAAATAGCAAAATAACCCTTTTTCGGGTTAAAATTGAAAAAAGATGTTACATAAAAATAGTTTGTAAGATTTTCTAACAGCATATAAGCAAAGTATTTTGATTTATTTAAAAATAATAGAAAATAGATTTTTCAAGGACGGTTTCGAGGTCACGGGGTCGGTGTCGTTTTTCGAAATTTGTTAACTTAATATAATAGAAAATGTTTCGTTTTAAATTAAGAAATGTTAAAATTATTAAGTTAAAAACATTTGATTTTAATGATACTTAAAATTAAACACAATATTATAGGTTACTAACTAAAAATTGAAAAAACAACAATAAATAATAAAAAATAATAATAAAAAATTGAAAAAATCAAAAAATTCTTAAAAAATTGCAAAATAACCCTTTTTCGGGTTAAAATTGTAAAAAGATGTTACATAAAAATAGTTTGTAAGATTTTCTAACAGCATATAAGCAAAGTATTTTGATTTATTTAAAAATAATTGAAAATAGATTTTTCAAGGACGGTGTCGAGGTCACGGGGTCGGTGTCGTTTTTCGAAATTTGTTAACTTAATATAATAGAAGATGTTTCGTTTTAAATTAAGAAATGTTAAAATTATTAAGTTAAAAACATTTGATTTTAATGACACTTAAAATTAGACACAATATTATAGGTTACTAACTAAAAATTGAAAAAACAACAATAAATAATAAAAAATAATAATAAAAAATTGAAAAAATCAAAAAATTCTTAAAAAATTGCAAAATAACCCTTTTTCGGGTTAAAATTGAAAAAAGATGTTACATAAAAATAGTTTGTAAGATTTTCTAACAGCATATAAGCAAAGTATTTTGATTTATTTAAAAATAATTGAAAATAGATTTTTCAAGGACGGTGTCGAGGTCACGGGGTCGGTGTCGTTTTTCGAAATTTGTTAACTTAATATAATAGAAGATGTTTCGTTTTAAATTAAGAAATGTTAAAATTATTAAGTTAAAAACATTTGATTTTAATGACACTTAAAATTAGACACAATATTATAGGTTACTAACTAAAAATTGAAAAAACAACAATAAATAATAAAAAATAATAATAAAAAATTGAAAAAATAAAAAATTTCTTAAAAAATAGCAAAATAACCCTTTTTCGGGTTAAAATTGAAAAAAGATGTTACATAAAAATAGTTTGTAAGATTTTCTAACAGCATATAAGCAAAGTATTTTGATTTATTTAAAAATAATAGAAAATAGATTTTTCAAGGACGGTTTCGAGGTCACGGGGTCGGTGTCGTTTTTCGAAATTTGTTAACTTAATATAATAGAAAATGTTTCGTTTTAAATTAAGAAATGTTAAAATTATTAAGTTAAAAACATTTGATTTTAATGATACTTAAAATTAAACACAATATTATAGGTTACTAACTAAAAATTGAAAAAACAACAATAAATAATAAAAAATAATAATAAAAAATTGAAAAAATCAAAAAATTCTTAAAAAATTGCAAAATAACCCTTTTTCGGGTTAAAATTGAAAAAAGATGTTACATAAAAATAGTGTGTAAGATTTTCTAACAGCATATAAGCAAAGTATTTTGATTTATTTAAAAATAATTGAAAATAGATTTTTCAAGATGGTGTCGAGGTCACGGGGTCGGTGTCGTTTTTCGAAATTTGTTAACTTAATATAATAGAAGATGTTTCGTTTTAAATTAAGAAATGTTAAAATTATTAAGTTAAAAACATTTGATTTTAATGACACTTAAAATTAAACACAATATTATAGGTTACTAACTAAAAATTGAAAAAGCAACAATCAATAATAAAAAATAATAATAAAAAATTGAAAAAATCAAAAAATTCTTAATAAATTGCAAAATAAACCTTTTTCGGGTTAAAATTGAAAAAAGATGTTACATAAAAATAGTTTGTAAGATTTTCTAACATCATATAAGCAAAGTATTTTGATTTATTTAAAAATAATTGAAAATAGATTTTTCAAGGACGGTGTCGAGGTCACGGGGTCGGTGTCGGTTTTCGAAATTTGTTAACTTAATATAATAGAAGATAATAAGAGTTTTTTAGATAAGTGGAATACAAGAAAAAATAATAAAATATTTTTTTTTTTTTTAAAAAAGAAAGGTAACAAATCCCACCGCTGCCACCAAATCAGCTGTTACATCCCGAGCGAAAGGCGAGGTTGAATTTAATTTTAATTAATAAAATCAATTTTAAAATTATGGAGGAATGGTAGTCTGATTAAGTCAAGTTGGTAAAGCTTGACCATTTATTTTTATGTGAGAACGTTTGTTCCTATCGATCCTACGGGGGTCGTCTTTTAATTTATTTTACTATTAAATAATTGCCTTGACACTTATCGTTGTTAATTTAAATATGAATTTAGGTATATGAGAATCTCAATGAAGAATTTTATTGATATAAATGTTGTATAATTTATTAATATAAATGAATCAAATCAAAATGTTACAATAATGTTTTATGTTAAAAGATGTTGTTACAAGAATTGTGAATTTTAAAATATAGTACTTACAATTACCTCTGTTTAGAGGGCAGAAACAAATATAAATTGACAAGTTGGCACTTGTCCTTGACGCTGTGAGTTTTTACAACTCCTGAAAAGGAACGGTTGAGACTTCCTCACAGTTTTTTAGTTCGTAAACTCCGAAATGCACACACGTCACGTTTGCAAAATCGTTAAATTGAGAATACACTAATACGACGATTAACAATAAAATTTAATAAATGACAAGCTTACAAATCTGGCGATGATGATTACTTGCTCTAATACCGAACAACGAGTAAACATATACTGTTCGAGATGCAAGAGTTACAGTCGTAATAATTTTAAAGTAACCGAAGGGTCAAACTCACGATGGTAATTTCACGTTATGAAACGAACTATGAAATGATTCCGGAGCAAATGACAAATGACAATGCATTTGCATGGGTTTTTATACTAGAAAATCATCCTCAGTGGGAGTAAATAAGTTCAAAGATCACCCCATCTCCAAGCTTGACTCTTAGATCTTTCATAGAATTAAGACAATTCTCAGAACTTAGATGGACACCTGCATCCTGTATCGCATAGCGCAAGTATCGCTATTACATCGTCTACAAGCATCTTCCAATAGTACTACGCTCGAAAACTGTGCTTGCGCCTCGCTAAAGCATACATGAGTCATAAGTCCATTCGTTGCTAGAGAGTATTGTGCGTAATAGTGTCAAATGGCATAGGTATAATTTCTAGGAATTGCCTACCAACAGGCTTTCGATATTCAAGTCAAAGGTTAGCCTATGCTATTTGATACAAGTGAGAAATTGAACATTGCATAGAATTTTATACTTTATGCAGCTGCAAAAACAATTCCTAAGAATTAGCCAAAGAATTGCGTGGAAATCATATTAGGAAAGTTTTTATATTGAGCATTATTCATACTTTTGAATAATAGCGTTTTGTAATCTTAAAATATTGAAAATATGAGGTTTGTTATTTTGATAATAATAGGTAATTGAATTTTATATAATATTGCAAAAAGAAATAATTAATTTTGAAGAATTAGGGCGAAAACTAGTATAGATAGTTTTCGCTCTTGTTCAACAACCACACGCGATTCCTCAGCATAGCCCTTCTGTAGCGGGAGGTCACCTTCGGTGATGCATCTACTCGCTATATCTATATTCACATATCCATGCCTGTACGCACTATATCTATATACATTGTTTGCTCGCGTCGAGTCATAGCATGCAGGCAGAGATATGCATATATATAGATATAGACACATGTAATGATATATATGAGTCAATGCTTCAATATAATATTAGAAATAATTATAATTTTAGATTATCAATTTTGAAAGATTGAGAGTAAAGCTTTGTTTACTATTATTTTTACTACTTATTATATGCGTATATAAATGAAATATATTTTAATATAGTTTTAAAATTTTTGTTACTGGGATGTAACAAGAGGAACGGACAAGAAATTTACAAAATGGGGGTATTAGTTCTTAGGGTCCAACTACAGATAGCGCTTTTTTTCGTGGCCAAAGTAATGCATGGGAGTAACTCGACTGTGAGTCAAATACTTAAAATAATTTTTAAGTCAGAAAAATTCTCAATGTTTAAACTCAAAAAGTTCTTAAAAATAAGTTTTACTCCAAAATAAATTTTTAAAAATTATTTATAACTATTGTTTGATTAAAATTTGAAATTAAATTTTTAATTTATTTACATTTGCATAAAAGAATTTTTAATTGAATGAAATATTACTTAAGTTTGAAAGAATTACATTATTTTTAAATGACCAAATTAGAAGTAATTGGATTTTCAATAAATTACATTGTGAAATAATATAATTTTTAATTGATTTAAACTTGGAATTAAATTGTTAATTAATTGAAATGTATTAATTTTTGATTTATTAAAATTTGAAATTAAATTTTTGATTTATTAAAATTTGAAATTAAATTTTTATTTCATTAAAATTTAAATAAATTAAAATTTTAATTGATTACCTACTACTACGTACATACGCTAATAAATGAGCGAAATTTGGCTGGTGAATCAGTGAAATTTCGCTAATTTAAAACGTATATACGCTAATTGAAATTAGTTGAATACTTATCGCTATTTCAGTTTAGAAAGTAAAGTTTGGAATAATTGAATTGTTATTGGAATGTAATGTGATAGAATTAAATTTTTAATTAATTAAAATTTGAAATAATTAAATTTTCAATTGATTGGAACGTGTAATAAATGAATTTTTAATTGATTGATATTTTGAATTTATTGACTTTGTAATTGATTAACGTTCGGAATAATTAAAACTTTAATTGATTAAAATTTTGAATAAATACATTTTAATTCAATAAAATGTGGAGTAATTTAACCTTCAATTCGGAAGGAAATTCCTAAAAAAAATTTTATCTTTGGACAATATTAAAGAAAATTCCTTGACTTTTGATGAAATTCCCTACCTTTCCCTTACTTTTCCCTGACCACTGGACAACCTGATCATATGTATCTGTTGTTTTCTACTTAAAGGGCACTATATTTTTAACGCCCGTATGTTCTCAAATAAATAAATACATAAATTGGGTTTATAATATTTAATTATGAAATTTAAATCCTTTGGTTAGTTTTGAGATATTAATATGATAAATAAATCTACCAAATTTTATATAAATCCATTGAAACCTGTTAAAGTTATCGTCTATACAAAAAAAGTATCCACACGAGGAAGGTAAACTTATATGGTAATTTATTAAAATTTAATAGAATTATAAGTTGAAATATTGGTAATTATTTTTAAAAAATTTTATCTTCATTTTTAAACATCACATTATCAATTTTTAATTGGTTTTATATTCCTGTCATTTATATTCATTGAAATAATACTACTACACATTATTTAATAAAAAAAAATTTATTTTTTTTATTTATTGTAAAATATGTGAAGCTTTTCACAGAAAAAACTTGGATTCATTTTTGTTGCAACTCATTTTCTTTTGGGTATCGAAATGAGTATGGGACAAACTTCATGTCATTCAAAATGATACTGGCTGAAATTTCAGATTTCTAGGTTGGCATCATTAGCATAGTAATTTTGTATTTCAATTATTTTTTCTAATATTTCAACCATATCAGAAAGACCATATTTTGTTCAGTACAAATATTTAGAAGTTTTTAAATAAAAATTATTTATTATTATTTACGTAGATAATAATTAATTTCATAACTTTTTAAATTTACCGCTATTATCTAAGTTGGCAGAACCGTTCTTATTTCCTTTATCATTTTATTACGCGATTACAAGCAATTTTTAATCAAATATATGAAGTCTAGCGTGTTATTTACGTCTTTGTAATTATTATATTTCATGTATTTGTGCAAAATTATTCGTTATTTAACAATATTTTTCCATTTTTCTTCTTCTCAAAATGAAATTTACCTGTTTCATTTTGATACTCTTACCTTAGAACTCGAAATGAGACAAACAGATTCATTTTTAATGCGTATAAAATCGAGTATAAATTTTGTACTCAATTTAAGATCAGGTTTTTTCTGTGTTCCCATGACGATGGGGGCAAAAAAATTGGCACTTTATAGGTGTAAAAACCAAAAAATCAATCATTAAATTAATTTATATCGTAGATAATTGCTTGATGGAATTCTATTGCTGCTTATGCTAAAGTATAATTAAATTCTGATTTGATTTACCCTCCTCCTTATGTAAGTTTTTAAAAATCTTAATGTAATTAAAAAAATTAATTACAAGAATACAAATGGAAAATATTTAGTAAAATTTTACATATGAACCCCCCAACATAAGACTATGCAGAGATTATATAACCCTCCTCTTAAGGACACTTACATAATTAATTGATGGCTCTTTAATTTCAAGGAAAAAAATTTCAGCTTTAAGCTTCGCTTGATAAGATACCCACCCAGGGTGGGTCAGACCACATTTGCATCGTCATATCTTCTAAAGTTTTGCCTAAATTGAATCGCGATTTTAAGTCACTGAACAAATTCTTAAGAACTTTCAAAAAATGTAAAAACACATTTTTTTAAAATTTCTTCTTGACTATATATAATTTTTGTCAATGTATGTACGAAGATAACCGGGATGATTCAAATATTTTTTTAATTCTATTTAACAAAAAAACTTGAAATCATCCAGATTTTTCACTGTAAGCGTTTTATATTGTCAAATAATGGATATAAAAATATTACATTGCATTTTTTATTTGTTTAAACAATTTATTGTTGTTATTTATTAAACTTTTTTGTTCTGTACCTGGAAAGATGCAGTTTTTTTCTAATTTTGAAATTTATCAAGCCGAATATAATATAAAATATATTTGATGTAAAATTATTAACCCTTTCAGTTATATATTTTTCTCTTCAACAAAATTTACGGATCAATGTACCCTTAATGGTTTTCGTGATCGCTGATTACGAATCTGAAATCGAGAAAAAAAAATTTTTTCTTTATACG